TTCTGTCTGTCCTGAACTCTGGGGATGGTACACACAATGAACTTTTCAATTAATCCCCCAAACCTTAGACAGTCCTTGAATCACCCGAGATACAAACGCTGGTCCATGGTCTGAACCTAGTGCAGCAGCAATCCAAACCTAAGGATGATCTCTAGCAGTTTCTTTGCTACTATGGGCACTGACTCTCCTTTTGTTGTAAAGGTCTCTGTCTAACCAGAGAAGATGTCCACCAGTACTAGTAGATACCTATGTCCTTAGTGCCTGGGCCTTCCCTCAGTGAAGTCTATTTCTCCAAAGACTCCTGATGTCATATCCTTTTCCTGTTTCCCAGGCTCCTGAAAATGTTGTGGGCCAGGGTTGGTGGCCAGGCAGGCAGGACATCTGGAAACAAGGTCTTGCAGTGTAAAATTTAGGGAAGAGATGAGATAACCTTTAGAGAACAAGGTGAATGATTTTGTTTTACCAAGATGGGTGTTCTCATGAAGCTGCTTGATTAAAGTCCTTCCTAGAGCCTGGGGTAGAACTATGCATCTGCCTGAAGAATACCACCACCCCTGTTTAGTTGACCTTGTTGGACAGACCTTGGGAAAATTCGTCATTTCCAGTTGAATGATGGGTGCATCTGGGAGGGCTGGTGCTGGTAGTAGGAGCATTGCCCGTGTCGGACGACCCTGAGCTGCTTCTCTCGCCACTGGGGTTTCTGAGAGCCTCAGTTGATCGTCCCTGCCTCCACCCCTGCTGGCGTCCAGCGTGATGAATTACCAAGACCTGCTTTGGGTCCCAAAGAGCTCCCAGGAGATCAGGAATCTCTTGCTTGTTTTTGATCAACTTACCTTCAGTGGTAAGAAGTCTTCTTTCCCCGTTAATAGCTCCATGAACGTGGAGTTTGGCAAAAACATAGCAAATGTCAGTGAAAATATCCTTCCTTTACCCAACCTTAGGGCTATGGTAAGTACAATCACTTTAGCCTTGAGGGGGTGGGGCAGAGGTGCCTGGCAGATGGGCTTCCACCCACAGTGTCTCCTCCAAGGGTGCCCACTGCAGCCCCTGTCAACCTCTGCCCCCTTTTATGAAACTTCTGCTACTATACGTTTCCAGATTCAGGGAGGCCAATAGGACGTCGGTCAGATCAGGCAGGTCTGATGTTCTGGAAGCTGGATATTATGTCCACACAGTCATAAGGAGGCCGCCGGATTGAGTGTGGATGGTTGGGCAAATGTGATTTTAGGTTGGTTTAGCAGTAAAGCTTGGTGGCAGCTCAGGCGGGCATTTGTTATCCATTGTGGTAGGGGCTCCTCAAGAAACTTTCTACTGCATGTGGGGCCATGATGGTCGCGTTCTGTCCCAGAGTGAAGTCGTCAGAGTCTTTATCAAGCAGGGCCAGCCATCCAGCCACTACAGAAGCCAGGTTTTAGATAAACATGCTATTGGACAGTGCTTTGGTGCAAGCTTTTGAGTGAGCACCTCTTTGACAACTCCTGCGTTTTCATCCACAAAGAGATGGAAAGGCATGGGTACGTCCAGCAGTGCTACGGCCTACACCAAGACCAAGGCCTGTTTGTTGTCCCTGAAAGTTTTATCCTGGACCTCAGCTCAAGGCAGTTTACCCTCAGGGCCTTTGGTAGTCTCATAGAGAAGCCTGGCCATTTCAGCAAATCTGGGGATCCAAAATCAGCAGTATCCCGCACTTACCAGAAATTCTCACACTTGTCTCTTGGTGAGGGGGATCGGGATCCCAAAAATGACTTGTGTACAGGAGGTAGACAGGGCCCTTTTACCTTCACGGAGGTCAAATCTCAGGTAGGTGGCTGTTTTTGGTACAAAGTTGAGTTTCTGTAGTCTACACTCAATATCCCAGAGTCTGGAGGACCTGCAACAGTCCTTCAGTGGCCTGTCAACAGAACAATTCATCTTCAGTCACTATCGACAAGCCATCTACATGCTGCAGGAGCATGACCTGGAGAAATCTGAGACAGTACTCACTAGCGAGCAGTCAGCTGCCATCATTCCCTGGACTAGCTTCCTAGCCTCCTTCAAAATCCTTTCCCTGTCTTCATAAGGGAAGAGGATTAGTAACAACTGCCAACAGCCATCCCATGTGGGTGGGCAGGTGAGTGTGGAAAATGGTTTCTAACAGGCAACTCATAGCCTGCAGGTTCTTGGAGAATGGGAGACTTTGGCTTTTCCAACTATCGATATCATTCTAGTGAAAGGAGTGTATATCCGACGGAGTTCCTGGTTCTTCTTTCCCCATCATTGGGCACCCTGCATGGGATGGGCCTGCCTCAAGGGTAGGACTGAGGATCCCAGGCCCCCAGGGGGGCTGGTAAGATGCCTCAGAGTGGGTTTGAGGTGAGGAGAGGGAATTGGGGTCAGAGGAGGACACCTGCTTGTCTTTAACTGTAGTAGTTTTTGGGTAGGAGGGGGATCCTGCCGGAGCAACCGCTGCCATTTTACATAGTGGACCATAAGGAGAGGTAGGGGCTCCTCAGAGGAAGATGTGATGGGAGACAGAGGGTTAGCAGGGCAGACAGCAGGGATTCCATCCAGTTATCTCCACAGGTAGGACGGAAGCCATTTCCGGGGTCCTCCAAGAGGATCACACAGGCCACTATTTAAGGCATTTGGACAGGTGTCTTGGGCAGCCAAAAATCCTTGCATGGACTGTGATAGAAACAGAGTGATTAAAAATGCCCTCAGGAGGCCAGCTGACTCCAAAAGCTGACAGAGAGTGCGGAGCTTCCTGTGGAAAGTGAGATCCCCTGATTACGGGGCTTTCTTCTTGAATCCCTTAAAATGCTGTAAAACTAGGTCTAGGGGATAATTAGGGAACGAAGATGGAGCTTGCTGCATGATCTCAAAGTCAGAGAGAAGACTAATAGTGAGTGAACAAAGTGAAACCAAGAATCCTACCTGGCAAGGACAATGAGACCCGTAGTGTGCCACAAGAGAGACACAACAACACAGGCAGAGGTGACAGAGATGATGGAGACAGTAAAACACAATCCTGTGAGGGAGGGTGGGTCAGCTGCCTCTTCAGCTGATTCCCAGAAAACAGATAGATGCTGTAGACACTCCTGGGGGGCAGCGGGGGATGGGGGCGCAGGTGACCCAGATGCCCCAGACACTCCCTTGTGGGACACTGGAGGCTGGACTCAGCTGCACCTGCGGCTTTTCCCCCAAAGAGGGATCAGACATCTCTTGTCTCCCTCCGACCCTAAGAGCAATACTGCATCCAGTTTCTACTCTGTTGGTTCCAGGCAAAAGGCACCACAACCCCCAAACCTCTAGTACTTACCGCAGGAGACTGTCACAAGGGTCAGGAGACAATAGTTTGGACAGAGATTCAAACTGCTGGAGTCCTGGATCCCGGACAGCCCCCAAAATGTTAGGGTGCAAGAATGCGGGAATAATTCACCACAAAAAACAGGGTTCAAGCAATCCAAAATGTATTTGGAAAAACTGATACATCAGGGAGGTGGCAGGTTGCAAGCTCCAGACCACATCCTCAAGGTGGGGGCAATTGGAATTCTGTTTTGTGCCAGTTTGTTCTGCTCTGAGCAGCAGTCTCCAACCCCTTGCACAAGTGTCTAGGATGAAGCCCATTGCCCACCGGAATCTAACAGTAATAATGTAATAAAAATGTTTTTAGACAATGTAAAACACAAATATTTGAAATTCTCCTTTAGTGAGCATCCGGATACTTGATGTTATTTATGATTTGAACGTTGAATTGGCTAAAGTATCCTCTGACCCAGAGACAGAAAACCATTTCTATGGAACTTTGGAGCTGCATTGCTTATTATAGTGCCCTGACCAGCAGGGCACAACGGGTTCGAACCCATGGGAACCTGGAATGACGGAGACAAGAAACATGAGAGAGATGGACAGCAAGACAGACCTTCCGATCAAGCTGCCGTTTAATGAAAGTTCTTTAGGGGCTTAAATAGGGGAAATGAGATAGGGGATGCAGGACAATAAGGGAGGGGTCGGTGCCTAGTAATCGGCTGAGGAGTGTTCTTGGTCATGTACTGAGGGGTGCTGGCAGACCACCACTGAGGCTGAGCAGCAGGAATGAAGAGGTGTTAGTGCTAAGCAGCCTAGTTGCAAGGAGGAGGGTTGAGTAACCTAACTGTAGATTGCTATCAGCTTTTCCTGTGAGCCCAGGTTCTATTCATAGGGAAGCTGGGGAGGGGACGGACTATTCTTAAAATAGACTGACAGTGCCTGGCGTTGGTGGCGCACGCCTTTAATCCCAGCACTCGGGAGGCAGAGGCAGGTGGATCTGTGAGTTCAAGGCCAGGCTGGACCGACAGCCTCCAAAACAGAGAAACCCTGTCTCGTAAAACCAAAAAAAAAAAAAAAAAAAAGACTGACAGTATTTACAAGAGGTTCTAAATAATGATGGCTCCCAACATTATAGTTTTTACTCTCTACAATGTCTGTGTCACAGGGCAGAGGTGCACAGGCATGGTGTAATGTACTCACATCATTAGTATCACGGGTCTGTTTCAAAGACCACGTTTGTGGAATCCACTCTTATTTTCCCTTGTCAAGTCCCTTACCATGTCAAGTTCATCTACAATGTTCTTACATGTGAGGGACTTGAAATACATGCTGTACACAAATGGAATATAATTTTACTGAAGTTAATTAAGCACCAGATTTAAAAATATTTCCTGTCAGGTTACTGGTTACACTTTTTTCCAACATAATTTTTTTAAATTGATCATTTGCATAGTAGACCTGATCACACTCACTTCCCATTACTCCCAGGTCTCTCTCCCCACCCTTGTGACTCCCCCCCCAAATGTCCAATTTGTGTTGCCCATATACTCACTGGAGTATGGTCACACTCCCGGTGACCAGCCACTTAAGGAAAACAGAGTTGTCCTATCTCACACCCCAGAAGCCATCAGTTGTGGGCCTCAGCATCCTTATCATAAATTTTAGATGTTCTCTTCAATGGTTTCCTGTAGAGGCTGTTTCTTTCTTTTGAGGTTGTCACGGAGGTCTCCTGTGTCTCTCCCTCTCAACTGTGAGTCTGCAGTCATCAATACCACTGCAGAAGAAGCTCCCTTGTCCTTTACAATCAGTGGGAACACAGATCATGGTTTCTGGCTCCAGCACACATCACAGACATCCCCATGGCCTCTGGAGTCGGCGTATGCTACAGATGTCGTCATGCTCTCCAGTGGCAGTACAGACCACAGACATCAACCCATCCCTCTGCTGCAGCTTGGGCCTTAGACTCCATCATAACTCTCGGCTGTCGCCACGGATACCAACATGGCCTCAGGGGCAACATGAACCATGGATACATCAACATGGCTTCAGTTGGCAGAACAGACAGACCACGGACAGCCATATGGCCTCTGGTGAAAGCACGGGCCGTGGACATCTACATGATCTCTAGTGGCAGAATAGACCACAAACAACAATATGGCCCTGAGCCACAGCATGGACCACAGACACCCTCATGAACCTCTCTGGCAGCATGGACCATGGACCCCAACATGGCCCCAGGTGGCAGCACAGGCCATTCGCATTACCGTGGGCCCCCCTGGACATCAATAGAGCTTCAGGCACAGCACAAACCACAGACATCCAAATGGCCTTCAGTGGCAACATAGATTATGGATATCAACACAGCTGCCAGCTACAGCCGGGCATCCTTCCAGCCTCTGGTGGTAGTAGGGGCCTCAGCCGTTGACGTGGCCTCCAGTGGAAGCTCAGTCCATGGGTGTCCACATGACTCTCCGGCTGAATCACAGCCTGGAGCGGAAGCAAGGACCTCAGCATGGCCTCTGGCTGTAGCACAGACCACAGATACCAACCTGGCCTCCAGGGGCAGCATGGACTCTGGAGGCCTTTCGAGGAGGTCCATTCCAGAAAGCAAACCATTCTTCATCTCAGATAGCCTGTCAATGCTCAGAGCCAGGGTGACCGTGCAGCTCGGCAGCACGTTCAGGGGCCGAGTCTGTGAAAGCTGCAGTTTGCCGCCACACAGCAGCCTGTCAAACCTGCTCAGCATCAGCATGCCCTGTTGTCCCGTCGTCCTGCCCCCCACAACGCCGTCCTGTCTACTGCAGCCTTCTCCCTCGCCTGTCACCGCCGTAGCCTCTGTAGTTCCCCCGCTCTCCGCCTACAACACACTACTCTGCTCCTCCGCCTTTCCCACTTCTCCACTGAATGCAGTGGCCTTGCAAACTGCAGTGTGTCACACAGCATATTCTTTGGCCCGATTGGGTTTATACACAAATACTGCAGCGAGTCATTGGTCTGGTTCGAGGTTTCCGGTTTCTGAAGCGCTGTAAATACTGGACCATGGCTAAGACTCCTCTTGGATATTCTGCTGTTGCCCAGAGTCAGGGTGATCTGGTGGCTAGACAGTGTCCGGAGGCAGCGAGGGCAGGATCCATGAGAGCTCCAACCCTCCACACACCCCCCTGCCCTCCATGCAGGCTGCCCAGAGCGCTTGCTGCCTGCACAGTACCTCAGCCCTGCACTCCCCTCCTCCCAGCAGTGGCTCCACACTGCAGGCAGGATGTGGGACTAAAGACAAATCTGTTCAGTAACGCCACATTCTCTGTCTGCTCCGTCAGGATGCCGTGTGGTCCCTTTGCCATGCTCCCCCAGCGGCACGGCTCTGCCCTGCCATCTTTCCTTCCGGTTTTGTGAGTCCACCTTTTAAAAGCATCTTCCCATAGGACCTGCCTATTTGTTGAGTAGTTCTGGGGATGCTTTGGGCTCTGCAGACATCCTCCTCCATCACCGTGTCTTTCCTTGGGGCTTCCATGGGTCTCTCCGGCTCCTCTGAGCTGCTCCAAAGTCCCAAAATGGGTACTGCCAACTGCTGCCATCTTCAAACACAGCCACGCTTCGGACCATGCAGTGAGGCTCCTCTGGTTACGGTTCAACAAGCTCTTAGTGTTAATTTTACTCCCTTGGTAAAGTCGGTTTTTCCTTCTTTCTTTCCTGTTAGTCGGTTTCTTCTCTCTCCCCTTTCTTCCTTCTTCCTTCCCTCTCTCTTTCTTTCCTCCTCCCTCCCTTCCTTCCTTCCTTCCTTCCTTCCTTCCTTCCTTCCTTCCTTCCTTCCTTCCTTCCTTCCTTCCTTCCTTCCTTCCTTCCTTTCCCTCTTGATGGAGATTGGCCCCAGGGCCTCATCTGCAGCTAGGAACAATTGCAGGTTCACTCTGTTAGAGTGCAGATGGAGCCACCTGTGATTTCCCCCATATGCCATTCACTTTAACTTTAATTGCATGATGGCTGACTCTGATGTGACCTGAAAAGGTCAGAATGTTGATAGGAGTGTGGATCATAAAGATTGTCGGAAACAAAGGATGTTTTGAAGGGAGCAGGCAAACACATCTTGGCCTAAGTACTACCATTTTGACTTCAGACTCCATTTTACTTGTAGGGTGAAACACAGTTCAAGTTTCCAAGCCCTAGCGGAGCTGAGACCTTTCCGATGGCTGACAGACCTCCTCCTTAAACAATAGAAATAGTCTGTTGTCCCCATGGCTGTTCCTAACAACAGAAAGAACAAACGAATCCGATTGGTTGGGCTGAAGAGCTCCCATTTTGTTGGTTGACAATGATGAAACACACAAGGAAAGTCCCTAATCTTTGACTTCCGATTGGTGAAAATTGTAACTCAGCAACAAATGTTTGTGAGTTTTGTGCTTTTAAACCCTTCTTCTGCTCCTGCTTGGGGCTGCCAGGAGGAACAAGGCTCCCAAGTCCTTGTCCTGAAGCCTTGATCAATCAGTGACCCACTTATGTGATGACTTACTAAAATCTCTGGAACCCATACGTGTTGTCTCTCTCCTTCCTCGTGGTGCACAAGGGACTAGGGGCACCAACTTGCTGATGAAAACTGCAGACAGCGACTTAAGCTGACCCCCACAAGTCTACATGGGGTGCAGCCATGAAGGCAGCAGTTAAGGGGCTGCCTGTCTGGAGAAAGTTTGGCGCTTAGCAAACTTTCCACATGTGTGGTTTGTGGTCGCCCAGCCTTCTGGATACTGAGGAAAAGCTGCAGCTACGAGATTAAGAAGCAGAGATAGACTGTTACGGGAGCTAACTCAGGAGGAACAGTGGTCCTAAGACCCAATCAGCACTTTCGTCAGACTCCTTGCTGTGTGTGGCAAGCAACTTAAGGGAAGAATGATATATTTTGGTTTCAGGCCTCAGAAGCTTCAGCCCATGGTCAGATGGCGTCGTAGATCTTAGAGCCACGGCATGGCAGAGAAAATGTGACTGGTGATTGGTGGACCAAAGCTGTCAACTCACGATTGCCAGAAAGCAAAAGACGACTACTAGGAAGGGACCAGGGCCAAGATATACCCTCCAAAGGCACAGAACCAAGGACTTGCTTTCCTCATCAGGACCTCACTTTACACAGCCCTTCCACCCCTCAATATTATACTTAATTTTTTAATAAGCCAATAGATGAAACAACTTATATTAGGGCCTTCATGATCTCTCTCTGGAAATATACTCAGACACACCTGGAGAGATGTGTTACTAATCTAGGTATCTCTCAGTCTAATAGAGTTGACAATCGAGATGAAACACCAAGAAATTTATATTTTGGGAATCCGGAACATTTGATAGCATTCAAATAGCATCAGTTTGTGCATCAGAGAAGTGGGTCTCCATGGGATTGGTGATTATGCTAGCACCCACATGTCTGTATTTGTTATATTTGTTACTTTTCCCATCACTGTGATAAAATATCTGACAAAGGCAATTTCAGAGAATAAATATTTGTTTTAGAGTTTTAGGGGAATTCAGTCCATGTGGAAGTGTTGGTGTTAGGAGTAGCCCAGTCTATATTGATGGGTATCTGAGGTAGCTGATGACATCAGGGTGACTGACCAGTAATACTCAGGCCAGTGCCAGAAATGACTATTACCTTGATGGCCTGACCCTAGCAATACATCTCTGTCAGCTTGCCTATGAGGACATATGTCCCAGCGAATTTGTAGTCCCTTAAAGCCATATCACCAACTAGGGGCCAAGTATTCAAATACATGAGCCAGGAGTGAGGTAGGGAACATTTCATAGTCAAGCTGCAATAAATACATTTCCTTGAATTCTTTATGTATCTTTTGACTTGTGGTTGTTGCCCACAATGGTCTTTAAGGTGATAATCCAGCCATTTTAAAATCACGACAAGATTATTAAGTATACTCACAAGCAACAGGTATTACAGGCATACAGGTGACTCAAGAATAGCTACATTACCAAACGTCCCACCGTGGCATAGGTCCTGACCTCAGGAAAGCTGCACAGTTGAGTATAGCCCTCGTTAACTTTCCAATTGTTCTACCCTCTAGCGTGTGCCAGAGATCCAGCAGGATTTCAGTCGCACAGTCTTTTCTTACCTACAATTGTGACACAGACTTAGAAACTCCCTTTGTTAAAACCTTTAACCCTTCACATGGCTCAGGTGATGCCTGATAGATGACTAAAAGCAGGATAAAGCATGGCATCTCTGCTTCTGTATCAGTCTTTTCTGTCAGAAGACACCTGGAGTCCTGCTCAACTCTTCCTGTAGACACATAAGCCATTCAAAAATTGTCTGTCTGAAAGTTGATGTGCCCTAAATTTACCTCACCTATCCCAAAACTGTTCAAGGTTCAATGTATAAAAATAAAAGTAATGGCTGGGCATTGGTGGCACACACCTTTAATCCCAGCACTCGGGAGGCAGCAGCAGGTGGATCTCTGTGAGTTCGAGGCCAGCCTGGTCTACAGAGCGAGTGCCAGGATAGGCTCCAAAGCTACACAGAGAAACCTTTTCTCAAAAAACCAAAAATAAATAAATAAATAAATAAATACATGTATTGAAATTACTTTCAGGTTTTAAATATCCTTATGTAGTAGCCCCCAAATGCACCTGGAAGTCTCCAGCCATGAAGCAAAAAGGTCAACACACAAGGGTAGGAGGAGATGTATCTCCAAATTCCCATGTCCAGTGACCTAGATACTTTAAAAGGTCCAACATCCTAGAGTTTCCACTGCCTCCCAGAATAGCCTGCCACTGGCAGAGGAAACCCACATGAACCCACAGGCAAGCATTCACATTCAAGCTGTCAGACACCAAATGAGATATAAGCTGTGGAGAGACAGACTAGGGCAGAGTCTCAATCAGTATGGCAAACTCAAAAAGACAACCAGTACTAAGACAGGGCCAGCCACTAGTTACAGAATATTTTCCAGTGCCCGCAGCATTACTGTTTTAGCTTCTGATTCACAGAATGCAAGAAAATACATAAGTTCTATTTATCTTGATTGTCTGAAGGGTTAGAGTGTTCCCACTGAAGTCCCACTGGTAACTTTTGACTCTCCCATCTGACTTGGAAGACAGCTGGTCTCTCCTTGATGACTTCATATTCAGAAACCAGACACACTAGATATTTAGAACATGGACTGACGCAAAGACAAATGAAACATTTCTTGGGAGCAATCACTCTGAAATAGGTAAGAGGTTCTCAAATCTCCCTAAGGTGGCCAGGAGTTAGGCTCTGATAAAAGGGGTTGAGAATGTTAATTTAGTGATAGGTTCTGATAATTACTCTTGGACATTTTTCTATCTCTCTCCCTCTCTCTATTCCTTTATTTTTGAAAACTTTATCGACACATGTCTAGAATTTTTCCATTTCTTTTAGATTTTCCAAAATAGAAACATTTAAAGTATCCCTTTACCCGGGCCCTCTGCAAACATTTAAAGTATCTCTCACCCAGGCCCTCTACATTTCCTTGGTGCGTGTTGTTGCCTGTCCCTTTTTAATTCTAAATTAATCAATTTGGGTTTTCTCTTTCCTTTGCTTATTTTAGTTAGATTTTGAAAGAACCAACTGTTTAAGAGTTTGAGTCTTAAACTCAAACTCAAACTGGTTGAGTTTGTGTCTTGTTCTTTTAGTTTTCACTTCCTTAATGTCTGCCTAGATCTCTATTGTTACTGTCTCTTGCTTTGGATTCAGTTTGTTTTGCTTCTTTTTTCTGCATGATTTAACTTTTTATTTATTTTACATACTAATCCTGTTTCCTCTCCCTCCCCTCTTCCCGCTGCCCACTCACCTTCTCCCCATTGCACCCCCCATCTGCTCCTCAGAGAGGATATGGTCTCCCATGGGAAGTCAACCAATTCTGTCCCATCACCACATCGAGGCAGGACCAAGGCTCTCCCCCCATGTGTAGGATGAGCAAGGTATCTCTCCATAGGAAATAGGCTCCAAGATGTCAGTTCATTCATTAGGGATAGCACCTGGTCCCACTGACAGTGGTCCCACAATCAGTTTGTTTTACTTTTCTAAGACCCAGAGATGTATATCTCAGACGTTTATAAGAGGTTTCTCTGGCTTGTAAATCTACACATTTAGATCTATACACATTCCTCTATGAACTGCCTCAGCTGTATCCTCAGGACTGCTAACTCTAATATGCCTAATGAATGATTTTCTTGCATAGTAATCTTTACAGTGAGTAGAATGGCTAATTCTGTATCATTGTTACCTACGTGGTTTTAGGTCTATCATTTAGTTTTGATGGTTTTTGTGAGACAAGGTCTCATTGTATAGCCTAGGGTGCCTTCAAACTCATAATTCCCCTGCCTCAGCCTCTCAAGTTATAATTAAGCATGGACCACATGCCTGACTGAATCAATATTAGTGGATGCCAGAGGTACTTCGGAGAGTCTCTAGAGTCCATAGCAAGAATGTTCTAATTAATAATAATAATTAATAATGAGGAATGAGGCAGGGTACTTGTAGAGAGGCCTAGAACTCTAGTTCTTCCACAAGCATATGGGAGGTCTTGTACTAAATCATTCAGTCATTTACCTGCATAATCTCCAGTGGTACTTGTGCCTATCTGTTATACTCTATAGTTAAGAAACTCCTAGTGAACAGTGCATGTTTTCCTAAAAGCTGAGTTCATTGTGACATGTTTCCAGCAGGAAGATCTCAAGGGAAAGTTGAGTCATTATAGGGAGGTGGGTTAGTATTCTGTGACTGTGAGAGAATGCCCAAGAAAATGTATAAAGAAGGGTTCTTTCTGGTTCATGGTTTCAGAGGTTTCAGATGATGGTCACTTGGCACCACATTTGGTACAAAGCTCATGTAGTAAGGCTGCTCACCTAATAGTGGTCAGGGCAAGGGAGGAAGGAAGGGGCCCATGCGGTATATACACTTCCTAGACTTGCCCAGAGTCATACTGCCAAGGAGGCAGTACCTCCTCAAACTTCCATCATCGCAAATATTTACTCTACCATGAACTCATCAATGGACTAATGCAATAACGATTAATGAACTCATGACCCAGTCACTTCTCAATGGCCCTATCTCTAATACTGCTGTACTAGGGACCAAGACATCAGCTTTTAAGGTACATTTCACAACTAAACCGTAATGGTGAGAATATGACTGACAGTCCACCACAGAGAACTCAGAAGAGTCACTTAGAAATGAAACCAACTCCATCATCTCCTGGATTGCCAGCCTCTTTCTTACAAACAAGCATAAATAAAAGCCGGCTTATGGCTTCCCACTTCCTCTTGCTCTTTTCCACCTCTGTCAGGAACAAGCCAACTGCACAACATGCTCTTTCATGGTTCTTTCCTTTTGGCATTCATTACGACGTATCTCAGCTGCGATTTCTCCAGTCCCGTGCTACTGAAGTTGGCTAACTGGGACAGCCTCAGCTATGACTCAGTAAATTGAGACACTTATTAACACTGGCTGACACAAATAAGTCTCCTGTTAGCATTCCAAGTACTTTGGACTCGGGTTTGGTGTGCACAAGGCTCACTTATTTTTTCTTTTCTTTCTTTTACTACTTTTTCCCTTCCTTCCCCATTTGCCTTCTTTCTTTCTTTCTTTTTTTCTTTCTTCCTTCCTTTCTTTCTTCCATCCATTCATTCATTCATTCATTCATTCATTCATTCATTCTTTCTATCAAGAAGCTATTGTATGATTAGCTAATGGGGTAAAGGGCCATACAAATAAGTGGTTACTAAGCATTGGTCTTTGGCCTGCATTTTAGTGATAAAAAGGACGCAAACAATGAGTCAATTTTGAGTTTTACAGTTTCATGTTTCCATGGATATGACAGTTCAAAGAATTTGGCAGCCCAAAGATATTTGTTGTATTTTATGGTGAACCTTCATACTGAAAAATAATCAAACTGTAAAGGGTATGCTTAACATTTTGCTTATATAAATGTACATGCTGTATTTATCTCTATTGTCTTTACTTACACACTTCTAGCTAATGCTATCTTTTGCATTAATTAAAGAAGATTCAATGTAGAGCATGCATCACAGTGGCACTGTTCGCAGCAGGCTAGGCCCTCCTCCATCAATCAGAGGTCAAGAAAATGCTCCTTAGACAGCCAGACTGAACTTCCCTCTTCCCAGGTGTGTCACGATGACAACCAGGAATAGCCACTGCAGAGTCAAAGCTTAGAGGTCTACATACAGCCGAACGTACTTCAGTGATGTGATTGTTAGCTTGGAACATGGGAGAGAGCCACAAGTCAAGGAAGGTGGGTGGCTTCTAAAAGCTGTAAAAACGGTTATCCCGAACCTCCAGAAAGAATGAAACTTTGTGGACATTGACTTTAAGCTCCTAACACCTTTTTGTTTGTTTGTTTCTGGTCTCTTCAAATGAAACAAATAAAATGTGTGTCGTTTTAAGCGTCCATTTTGGTAATTTGAAAAAGCATCCCCATAGACCCATGTAGTTGAATGTTTAGTCATCAGGGAGTGGAACTATTATAGAAGGATCAGGAGGTGTGGCCTTGTTGGAGAAAGTGTGTTATTGGGGATGCTCCTTGGGGTTTCAAAAGCCCACACCAGGCCTAGTGTTGCCTTTGCCTCTCTAGTACCTAACCTGCCTGCCATTATGCCTCCTACTGCCAGGCTCCCTGCCATGATGGTAATGGAGCAAGCCTCTGAAACTATAAGCCAGCCCCAATTAAATCCTTTCCTTTAGAAGAATTGCTTTGGTCATGGTGTCTGTTCACAGCAACAGAACAGTGACTAAGACAGTTTCTGTCTCTTAAAGTGAAACAAACAAGCTGAGTATGGTGGC